ACAGCCTCAGGCTTAGCAGCAGCAAAAAAAAGGGAGACCGAGCCTCAACCATTCGACCCTTCTTCTCACCCTCAATACCCTGAAACACTACAGCCATCAGTCACAAATTCCCAAAGCGCAAGCACCAAATGTCGTTTTTTTAACAAAAAATGCAAGCAGTCTCACTGATCCAAAGATCAGCTCTTCTTGAACAGCTTTCGCAGGTCTTCAAACAAACTTCCTACAAAGTGTTTACAAAGTGTTGGATCTTTACAAAAATTTGACAAAGTTTTGGAATTACAACTTTTTTACCGAGTTTTTGCATTACAAAGTTTTAACAAAGTCTACAACGTTTAAAAATAGAAATAACAAACTTCACAAAGTTTTGGACACTTACAGTACATTGAATTTTACAAAACTTTGGAACTACGAAGTTTTTACAAAGTATTGAACCTTTAGATATCTGAACAAAGCTTTGGACATTTATCAAGCTTTGAACAAGTTTTGGAATTTTACAAAGTTGTTACCAAGTTATTGAGTTTGAAAGTTTTTACAAAGCTTTTACAAAAGTGTTTGATGCTTACAAACTTTCTACAAAGTTTCGTTTTTTTCAATCTGTGTCAAAACTGTGTAAACTTTATTATTTGAAAACTTTGCAAAACGCTGTAAACTTTGTAAGAACTTTGTAAACTTTGTAAATACTTTGTAAACTTTGTAAAAGCTGTGTAAGCTTTGTAGAAACTTTGGTGAAATTCTAAAACTGTGTAAACTTTCAAAACTCTGCAACAACTGTGTAAAGATTGAAAAAATTGCAAACTTTGTCAAAACTTCGTAAACTGTTGTTAAAATTGTAAACTTTTTAAACACTGAAACACTTTAAACTTCGTAAACCTTTGTAAAAACTTTGTACACTTTGTAAACCTGTGTAAAAAACTGCGAAAACTTTGTGTAAAAAATTGTAAAATGCGAAAACTTTGTCAAAACTTTGTAAACACTTGTAAACTTTGTCAAAACTTTGTGAACTTTGTCAAAAAGTTTGTAAACATTGCAAACTTTGTACACTTTGTACTAACATGTTGTAAAAAACTTTGTAAACAACTTTTAGATGTTGTAGGCCTTCGTAAACTCTATTTAAAAAAAGACCGTTATAAACTTCGTAGCACTTTGCAAACTTTGTAAAACGTTTTTAAACTTCGCAAACTTTGTCAAAGCATTGTAAACATTTTGAAAGACCTTGTGAACGTTGTGAAAACTTTGTAAACTTTGAACACTTTGTAAATTTCCTCAAAACTTTGTACAAATTGTGAAACTGTACAAACTTTGTAAAAACTTTGTAAAATGTAGAAAGAAACTTTGTAAACTTTGCAAATAAATAAACAATCAAAACTTTGTAATCGTTGTCAAAACTTTGTAAACTTTGTCGAAACTCTGTAAACTTTGCAAAACTTTGTAAACTTGGCAAAATCTTTGTGAACTTTCCAAAATCTTCAAAACTTTGTAAACTTTGTAAAAACTTTGTAAATTTGTGTAACAAAAGGCAAATGTCGCAAACTTTGTCAGAACGTTGTAAACTTTGTAAAAACTTTGTAAACTTTGTAAAAACTGCGTAAACTATGTAAACTTTGTAAAAACTTTCTAAAACTTTGTAAAGTTCTTTGATTTCACAAAGCAAGACATCAGCGCTCCTTTTGTCTCTTTCGAGATATTGGGGTGCAATGCATGGCCTGTCCCCCTTCGAACGCTGGCACCCCAAGATCACGCAAACACAGCAGAATGTCATCGAACAAGTCTTTGGCTGGCAAGCTCTCGGACAATTCAGGTTTGAGCATAGGATGTGCTTCCCCTCTGGAAGGGAAGTCGCTTATGTTGGCTTCAGTAGGCACGCGAGCGAACCAGGCTTGAGAGCTATTCAAGGCTTCATGCTCTAGATGGATGCGCATCAAGGTTTGCGCAACTTCACCCTCGGCAGAGCCCTTTATTAAGGAGATCCTGACAGCCTCATTGTCTCCGAACCATACTTGAAGACCACACGAGATTTTGCTGTTCCAAAATTTTAACGCAAGGACTCCGGCAAACAATTCTAGTTCATAAATGATGGTGTCTTTGGTGAAGGCACCAAGCTCTAGACAAGTCTCAGAGTCAACATTGAACCCAAACCAAGAGACGCACTCGCCTCGGTCATCAACAAGGACACCACCAATGCCTCCCGTTTTGTTGCACTGTTCATATGAAGCATCGGAGTAGATGAACCATTGCGCAAGCCTGTGAGCACGAACCACCCTAGGTTTACCTGAGTTCAAGCGTTCAAACGTGAAACGAAGGGCATCTCGCAAGCTCTCGTCGATTTGCTTTTGGGCTCCGTAGGCGTGTTCGATTAGTTTACTTAGCACTAAGATCCCCAAGCGACCGTGGACGAAGCTGTCTGCAAATCCTAGTTTACCTCTAAGCACCAAAGCTTCGGGACGCGTCAACGTGCCTCGGTCCAGGGCAGCTTGTAACATTTTTTCAGTTCCAGCTTTCGTTGCTCAGTGTTCTCGATCATCAACTTTTGCTCCGAGGACAAAGAAAAATCAAACACAACACCGAGTGCGCGGCGCAGAGTGGAGAATTCCGTTTTCTTTTTCCCTTCCCGGGCAAACTCCCAACCTGTTAGCAAGAAGACCAGCTCCATTGCATGCTTTGCACTGTCCTGAGTCTCCGCCCTGGAAACAAGGACAAAGTCGTCATAGAAGTTGGTGTTCATTACAAACTGTCCTCTCGCAGCGATGAAGTGAAGCATCTTTGCAAACCGCAGAAAACAGTATACACTATGAGTAGCCCCAAAAGGCAGAGTCTGCATCTGATACACTTCAGCGTGCTCCGTCTCATGGTTGAAGATGCTGAAATATGCATACTTGAGATGGGACTCCCGGATAGCAATCTGTCGATAAGCACTCTTCAGATCATATGTCTTGGCAACCGAGGAACTGTCAAGTTGCCTCTCTGCACAGTGCCTGAAATACTGGTTTGTCAAGGCCGCCAGCGTGTCAATCATATGCAGATCCACTTTATTGCGAAAGAAGTGTTTTTGCACGATTTTTTGCCTAAAAAGAAGTGTTTTTCATGTCATTTGTTGTAAACATAAGTGTTTTTCACCAGCCATTTGTAAACTTTGTAAAAACTTTGTAAACTTTGTAAAAACTTTGTAAACTTTG